TCTGAAGGCTCCTTGTAGGCCCCATAGTGTGAGGACTCAATTGCCCTATTCTTTGTTGGAATGAAGAGCTCCTAGTTAGAGTACTGCTACTCAGCCTAGTGTGCAGGGGACTCCATTCCCCAGTGTGCAGCTGGGTTCGAGGCATCATGTTCTCAGGGCATCCAGTGGGCCTGGTGTTCCAGAGACATAGTTGCTTTGTTTTCGGCTACATTAGAAGAGTCCCCCCTTTGTCCCAGTGTCCAGGTGACTCCTTTTCTTGGTGCAGAGTTGGGTTGGAGTGCTTGTATTAAGGCTCCTGGTGGGCCCACTGTTCAGATAACACATTTGTCCACTTCCAGGTCTGGTTGGAGGGGTTTTTTCAGATGGCTCCTGGAAATCCTGGTGTCCTGAGGACCTGATTGCCTTATGCTCTGCTGGGTTAGATAGCTCATGATCTCAGGGTTCCAGCTCATACTACTGTCCAGATAATTCATAGCAGGAGGGGAAGAATGAAGGCGGGGGAAATCGGAGGGGGAGACGAACCATGAGAGACGATGGACCCTGAAAAACAAACTGAGGGTTCTAGAGAGGGTGGGGGATGGGTTAGCCTGGTGATGGGTATTAAAAAGCGCACATTCTGCATGGAGCACTGGGTGTTATGCACAAACAATGAATCATGGAACACTACATCACAAACTAATGATGTAATGTATGGTGATTAACATAACAAAAAAAATTTAAAGGGCGCCTGGGTGGCTCAGTTGGCTAAGTGAGTGCCTTCGGCTCAGGTCATGATCCTGGATTCCCGGGATCGAGTCCCACATCGGGCTCCCTGCTCAGCAGGGAGTCTGCTTCTTCCTCTGACCCTCTTCCCTCTCATGCTTTCTATCTCTCATTCTCTCTCTCTCAAATAAATAAAATCTTTAAAAAAATTTAGAGAAAAAATTAAAGAAAATACAAAATACTAACAGCACTTTTCACAGAGCTACATCAAGCAATCCCCCAAAATCTGTATGGAATCACAAAGATCCCTAATAGCCAAAGCAATCTTGAAAAAGAAAAACAACGAGAGCATGTGTTGTGATGAGCACTGGGTGTTATAAGAAACCAATGAATCATTGAATACTACATCAAAAACTCATGATGTACTATATGTTGGCTGATTGAACATAATAAACAAGTAAAATAAAATAAAAACAAATATTAAAAACAAAAAAAAACCAAAATGGGGGCATCACAATTCCAGTCTTCGGTTATATTACAAAGGTGTAGTAATCAACATAGTATTGTACATTCATAAAAATGGACACATAGATCAATGGAACAGAATAAAGAACCCAGAAATATATTCACATTTATATTAAAGAAAAAATATATATATACTAATACACAAATATTAAACGGCCATAAAAATGGAATGATCTCTTGCCATTTGTAATGGCATGAATGAAGCTGAAAGTATTAGCTAAGTGAAATAAATCAGTCAGAGAAAGAAAAATGCCATACGATTTCACTCATATGTAAATGTAAGAAACTTGGGAGCAAAGGGGAAAAAATGACCGAGTCAAACCATAAAAGAAAAAAACAAAAAAAAACAAACCCTTAACTCTAGAGAACAGCTGATGGTTACAAGGGCAGGGTGTGGGGGGGTGGGTTAAATAGGGGATTGGAATTAAGGAGTGCACTTGTGATGAGCACCAGGTGTTGTATGGAAGTGTTGAATCACTACTAATATTCAACTGTACGTTAACTAACTGGAATTAAAATAAAATCTTAAAAAAAACCTTGAGTGGCAGGGGCAGAGCAAGAAGGCGGAGGAGTAGGAGACCTGGATTTCGTCTGGTCTCAGGAATTCAGCTGAATAGGGATCATACCATTCTGAACACCTACGAACTCAACAGGAGATCAAAGAAGAGAGTAGCAACAACTGTCTGAAGAGAGAAACGACCACTTACTGGAAGGTAGGACATGCGGAGAAGTGAATCCGAAGTGATATTTGGGAGGATAGACGGCGGGGGAGGAGGCCTCCATCGGCCGCTTCTGGCAAGTGACAGAGACGCAGAGCACAAAATCGGAACGTTTAAGAAGTCGGCTCCACTGAGGGACATCGCTCCAGTGGCTAAGCGGGGGGAGGAAACCTTGCAGGAGAGTGTGGTCTCAGGACCCTCGGGGTCACAGAAAAACCGGGGGTGCCTGAGTGCAGCAGAGGTCCCAGATATTGGAACGGGGAAGCCGGCTCCAGAGACGGAGCTGAGGCGCGAGCTCTCAGCTTGGGCTTGCCATAAACTGTGATCTTTGGCCCAGTCAGGCCACTGCTCCTCCAGCACGGACCCAACAAGTGGCAGATCTGGGGAGACTCCCCTTCCTCTCCGAGGAGGAGCGGCGCGGGAACGCACCGCAGGGATCTGCTGGGTTTGGAGACTCCACACAGGGTCGGGTGCCAGAGATAGAAACTCTCATTCACAGGCCGGGTGAGCATGGATTGCGGCTGGAGACCAGGGAGACGGGAGTGACTGCTTTTCTCTGGGGGAGCACTGAGGACCGGGGCCCCGAGTTCCCGGCTCCTCCGGGGTGGAGATGGGAGGCCGCCATTTTCACTCTCATCCTCCAAAGCTGTACGGAAAGCTTGCAGGGAACAAAAGCTCCCGAGAGCAAACCCGTGCAGTTTGCTTAGCCGGGACCGACAATGGCAGGGCAATTCCGCCACTGGCAAAGACATTTGGGAACCAAGGTAACAGGCCCCTCCCCCAGAATATCAGCAAGAACGACCAGCAAGCCAAGACCAAGTTTACCAATCAAGGAGAACGGGAGAATTCCAGCGCTAGGGGAATACTACACATAGAATTCATGGCTTTTTTTACCTTGATTCATTAGTTTTTCAAAGTTAATTTTTTAAATTTTTTTTTAACTTTTCTTTTTCCATTTCTCAACCAACATCTTATCAATCCCTTTAAAAAAAAAACATTTTTTTTTATTTTGCATTTTTAGAGTCATATTTTATCCCTTCATAGAACTTACCCTTATTTTTGTCATATATATATAAGTTGTTCTCTCTTTAAAATTTTGAGATACAGTTCTTCTAACAGATCAAAATATACCCTAAATCACTACTGTATGGCTTTGTTCTAGTCTCCTGCCTGATCACATTCTCTCCCTTTTTT